CCTATCCCCCTGTGTGCCCTTGCCTCCCACGACTTCCCTTCAAAGATCCCTATGGAATTCACAATTACTCATACTCCCACCCCGGCGAGCCCGAGTAACTCACTGCTCCAGTCCAAGATGCTTTTGGTAATTGGAAAAGGTGGGCTTCTCTTTCTTCTCTGTGAGAATTATAGATAGGGCTATCAATGATCTAGGCCGAGCCTGATTTCGGGCCTGTTCCGGTCTCGGACCGGGCTAAACCACCAACCCAAGGACTTCTTAACGGGCCGGGCCGGGCCGGGCTGGCTAGACCAGCCAAAACATATTGCAATCAAGTGCAAATAAAAGCCCAGCTTGGCCCATTTAGAATTTTTATTTTTAAAATCTTCATTCTTCAAACTTTATTTTTTTTGAAGTAAGCCAAAAAAATAAAATAAATACATGTTAAAATATTTTTTTAGAAAATATAAAACTCATTCTTTATATCTAGAAACCCAATCTGTCTTTTTCTCTTTAAAAACTCATTTTCTCTCTAGAAATCCAACCTCTCGTTCTCTCTCTCGAAAAACCTACTTTCTCTAGAAACATAACCTCTCTCTCTAAAAACTCATGCTCTCTATATCTCTATCTAAAAACTCATTCTCTCTCTTTAGAAATTCAATCTCTCTCTTTAAACACCTATTCTTTCTATCTTTAGAAATCCAATCTCTCTTGCTCTCTCTAAAATCTGTTCCTCTCTCTAAAAGCTTATTTTTTTTCTAAAAACTCAATCTCTTTTTCTCTCTCTAAAAGCTCATTATTTATCGCTTTATAAACCTAAGAGAAAATATCTTCATACCTCTCATGTTTTAGTTTTATATCTCAATAGACATAAGGTTTCAAAACATATTTTGAATCATAAAAATTTTAAGTTTTATATCTTTTAATCTCTTAAGCTAATTTATTTCTTTTATATCCTTTCTTTTTTGCCTCAAACAAATATCAGAAAGACGTATCTTTTATAAACACCATAATTTCTCTCTCTTCACTTAATTTTCCCCTAAATCTCTCTACTTATTTTCCTATTTTCTCTCCTCTTGTATCTCTCACTCTCTCTCTCCCCTCCTCTTCACTTAATTTTCCCCTAAATCTCTCTCTACTTATTTTCTTATTCTCTCTCCTCCTGTGTCTCTCACTCTCTGTCTCCCCTCCTCGTTAGAGAGAAAGAGGGTGAATGTTAGAGAGAGAAATTTGGAGGAATATCTCATTAAAGAGATAATGGTTTAGAATGAGTATGTTTTTTTTATATTTGTTAGAGCTAAAAAAAAATAGTTAAAAGTGGATAAGTTAGTCAGGTGTTAGGAGATATATTTTGAATTTTAGGGTTTATTGAGATATGAAAACTAAACCTCATTCTCTCTATCTAAAAATCCAATATTTTTTATCTCTCTAAAAACTCATGCTTTATCTCTAGAAACTCAATCTCTCTTTCTAGAACCCAATATCTCTTTCGTCTCTCCGAAAACTTATTCTCACTCTAGAAACCTAATATCTCTCTTTAAAACCTTTTCTCTCTCTAGAAACCAAATCTATCTTTCTCTCTCTAAAAACTCATTCTCCCTCTCTCTAGAAACACAATCTATTATTCTCTAAAAACTCAATCTCTCTTACTATTTCTAAAAAGTTATTCTCTCTCTAGAAACTCAATCTCTCTCTTTAAAAACTCGTGCTCTCTCTATAAACCCAATCTCTCTTTCTCCCTCTAAAAACCCCCTCTCTCTAGAAAACCGATCTCTTTCTCTCTCTAAAAACTGAATCTCTCTCTAAAACCCATTATGTCTCTCTCTAGAAACTCAATCTCTCTTTCTCTCTCTAAAAAATATTTTAGCATGTACTTTTTTTTTTTTTGCTTACTATCAATAAAAGTTTTAAGAGTGAAATAAAAAATAAAAAATAAAAAAAAAGAGGCTTCTTAATGGGCTGGCCGGGCCGGTGCAAGCTAATAGAGCTTTAACGGGCCGGTCCGAGCTTTTCAATGAAATTACCGGGCCCTGCCCGTTGGCAGCCCTAATTATAGACGTGGCCTCATCAGTTTCTTTCTTTAAGGACTCCTTCAGGGCCGCCACTTAATATTTCAGTTATTAGGAGGTAAAGTTAGGCATCCACAATGGAAATGACTCTCTCTCTCTCTTGTATTTTCTAGTTAATTAATTCTCATCCAGCATTTTGGGTTGAGAATGACCTAATATTGTTAGGCCCTTTTATGGGATGGTTAATTGAATGTGGTAATTATCTTCTTGGATAATATGAAAAACTCACGATTCACGATTCACTTTCTTTTTCCAGCTATTTGAACATTTCACTTAAGATTGAAGTTTATTTTTATGTTCTTTTTTTATTTAATAGAATTTTCTGCTTATCAATTTCACCATTGTGAAGTCTATATGTGATTCTAAGTGGGCTTGTAATAAGGAAATGTCCATGCCATACGTGAGAGGTCACAAACGTCACACGAGCAAGGATGTGTTTGATACCAGGACATTTTAGATCTTGGAATTGGAAGTTTCAGTTTCCTAGTACAAGAAACCACTTTAGGAAGTTTTGGACTACAAAAAATTAAGAACCTGCAGCTTCCAGCCCTTATAGAAGTTTGTTTATCCACCTTTTTAAGTTCCTTTCTCGCATTTTTTGTTTTCCTTCTAGACAAATCGGGCTATCTCCTTTCATTTTCAAATTATTTTTCTAACCAATCTCTCTCTAATCATACACTTTCTCCGACTCTATCTCTCTCTAATAATACACTTTCTCCGACTCTTACTCTGTAACCTCTTTCTCTATTACGGACTCCTCTTTAACTAAGTCTTCTCTCTCTAACCATGCTTTTTTCTCCATCTTCTCTCTCAAGCCATGTGTTTTTTCTCTATTTTCCATCTCTAATATTTAAGAACTCCTAAATTTTCAAACTAGTAGTCCAAAACTTCTATGTATTAGTAGTTCCAACGTTTTGAGAACTAGAACTTTAATGTTCCATAGAATCCCAGCTTCATCGTTTTGAGAACTAGAACTTTAATGTTCCAAAGAATCCCAGCTTCATCGTTTTGAGAACTAGAACTATAATGTTCCAAAGAATCCCAGCTTTTGTCAACAAATGTGTCCGACAGAGCAACTTTGCAAGAGAGAGAGAGAGTTATGCAACGAAGAGTAGTTGCATGGAGAACCCATGGCCCCTAAATTAACATTATTATAGAGATCTTTTAATTTTTGTATTTTAAATTCAGCAATTTTTTTGGACTTTTTTCCCATGATTTTACCACTTTAGAATGAAGTTTCAAACGTTTCTTTTTCTGCGACTTTGGACCTTCAAAGTCAAGTTTTCTTGATATCGAATCTCGAAAGTTTAACACCTCGATGACAAAACTGGATTTCAGACCTTGAAGGTTTAAAATCAACACTTGATATATGTTGATTCCAAATCTTCAACTTGTCCTAGCTTTAAATCTTGAAGGTCGGATCTCTTAGACTTTTTAGGTTCGGGCTTGCAAAACTCGAAACCAAAATTTTCTTATCACTTTTTGCCTTGAGGGTCCGTTATTTGGGAAAACAATAAAAATATAAACAAAGATAAAAAAAAAAAAAGGTGAAAAAAATTACCTAATAACAAACATTAAGCATATATGATTAACGTGAGAGATTATAGTACTACAAGGAAAGAAAAGAATGAAAATAGTTTGATAGGGTTGCAGCCCTATCAGAATAAGTAATGCCTCAATAATTCATCCAAAACTGCAATTCAATCATTGAAAAATCTTTATATTGGTCATTAACTGCAATTCAATCATTGAAAAATCTTTATATTGGTCATTTATGCTTGAATATTATGGTTGTAAACAAAAATTAGTATTTCAAGTTTTAAAAATAGTGTATATTGTGTTTATGTAAATGTTTTAAAAAAAAAAAAAAATGTATACTATAACTATTATTTAGACTTTTTATTTAGCATAAAAATAAGTATTTATATAACCGTAAAATTTGTATAATTTTTTAATTTTAAATTTTACTGCCATGTTAGAAGTTGATTTTAGAGCCGTGGATATTTCCATTTTCGAAAGTGCTTTGGAGGATTTGTGGTGGGGCTTTATTTTGTTTTCATGAAGCTTAAGCCTTATAGAAAAAGAAATTCAAAAACATTTGATTAAAGACAGCTGCATTAAAGTGTTGGTGGTGGTATTTCTGGCAATGCCATCAAGGTCCAGCTCCAAAACCCCGAGACTTGGGGAAAGGGATTGGAGGGGGAGAGAGGTAAATGAGGCAAAGTTAGAGAGAGAGAGAATGATTTCTTCAGTCTAAAGAGGTGGGTTTGTTCTCCTCTCTCTCTTCAGTCTAAAGGGGTGCGTTTGTTCTCCCTCTCTTTCATGGTGGGTTCTCTCTATTATAAAGAGGTGGGTTTGTTCTCCCTCTCTCTCTCTCTCATGGTCAAAACAGCAAACCCATGAACCCGGTATCCCAAAAGAAGCATCCAAAAGGAACCCATATTTTTCTCTCTTTACTTCCCTCTCTCATTCATCCTGTGTTCACCACCCTTTAACCAGATCCCCTCTCTGACACCCATTTGAAGATCTGCCCTCAAAAAGCCCAATCCTTCTGTGCTCCTTAATCACATGGCCTGTCACTAGCTGGCTTTCAAGTCCAAGGTATGCATTATCAGATCTCCTGAACAAACTCCCCCAATTCCCGAACTTGAACCAAAAACAAGGGATTTTTCCCTCTGATTCCTCTGTCCTCTTATCTCTATCAGCCCATACGCTGCCCTTACTCCTCAAAGATTCTCAAAGATTTCACCAAACAAACACCCCCTGTATATATATTCTGTTTTGTATTGATTTATTTGTTCTATCAAACAAGAGGTCGAGGCCTTTCAGAGACTGGCTCTTTTCCTGAATTGAGTTTTGGAAATCTTTCTTTTCATTCAATAATTACAGAGAATGGCCTAAAGATCACTCCTTTTTAGGCATATCTCTTTGTTGGGTTCTCTGATTTTTCAAAGAAGAGAGTTGGGTTTCAGAGATTGGGTCGATTTTGAATTCGGTTTTGGGCAAACCCATTGGTTGGGTGCTTACAAATGAGAAATGGTATGTGGGTTTTGGGAGATTCAGGGATCGAAACAGAGGAATTTTGTCAGGGACGATGAAGATGGTTGGCTCGTGCTGGAAACCTGCAGTTGTAGAGAGATTTGTGCGCAATTCTAATGTGGATGGAGCCTCAGGTAGATTGGAGGGGCTCTTATGGTACAAAGATTTGGGCCAACATGTTAATGGGGAGTTCTCCATGGCAGTTGTTCAGGCCAATAGCTTATTAGAAGACCAGAGCCAGGTTGAATCAGGGCCTCTGAGCCTGTCAGAATTAGGTCCTCATGGGACTTTTGTGGGAGTTTATGATGGACATGGAGGACCTGAGACTTCCCGGTTCATCAACGATAACCTCTTCCAAAATCTCAAGAGTACGTGTACCCCCTCCCCGCCCCCTGCACACACACACACACACTTTCACTGCCAATTGTTTGGTTTACTTGTTTCGATGAATTTATGGCAAAACTTTTCTTTCTTTCTTTTTATTGTGTGTGTGTGTGTGGGTGTGGGTGTGGGTGTGGGTGTGGTTGTGGGTGTGTGTTTGTCTCCACAACTTAACTGCAAATTGTTTGGTCTTTGGTTTTTAGGTGTTTTTGCATTTTGTTGGAAACTGTGTGGTTGTGGAAACTATTAATGTGCTTACCTTCTCTGGATTTCATTCACCTTTGTGGAATTATTCTGTTTAGACTTCTGTGAGGCTGATATGGAATACATTTGCAGAGTGGAAAGGGGTCTTAAAATTTCCATTTTTTTGAAAAAGAAAAGTGATATCAGCACTGTAGCTCAACTGCTAGCTCCTTGGTTTTTATTAAAGAGATACCAGGGTTAAACGCTCTCCCAATTGTTAATCTTCTTGCTCACCAAATGATTACAATAATATGAGAGGACCACCGATTTCTCCACTTCCTTGATCATATTACAATGTACTGTGTTAATCTGGAAGCTACCTAGTGAGACATTGAGCTCTGGAGCCTCTTATCTGTGATTTCTTAACTAAACTGAGTTACTTTTCTTTCCGTCAGTTTCTATGCTCTTCATTATTTTAAGGTAGAAATATTGGATTTATGTGTTGAGGACATCTGGAGATTTAGCAACGTTTTTTTCTTTATGAGTAGGACTCATACCTGAACCTGAAAGGCCCTTTCTTTGTGACAGAATTTACATCAGAGCAGCAGGCCATGTCAACCAATGTTATACACAAAGCATTCTTGGCCACAGAAGAGGCATTTCTCTCTCTAGTTAAAAAACAGTGGCTCACTAAGCCTCAACTTGCAGCAGTTGGATCCTGCTGTTTAGTTGGTATCGTTTGTGGTGGCACTCTGTACATCGCGAATCTTGGGGATTCGCGTGCTGTTCTTGCAAGATCGATAAAAGCTACAAGAGAAGTAGCTGCTATCCAATTGTCTTCAGAGCACAATGCTAGTATTGAATCTGTGAGACAAGAATTGCGTTCCCTGCACCCAGATGACTCACGAATTGTGGTTTTAAAGCACAAGGTCTGGCGGGTGAAGGGCCTAATACAGGTATCTCTCTTCCTTCTATACATGTATGCGTCAATTTAATTTTCTTTAGATTTCTTGATTCTGACCTCTTGAATTTTTTAAGAAAAATTTAAGAATCCTATTTTGGAAATCGTCATGCCTGGACTCTAACCCTTATTTTATCTACTTGTCCTTAAGATTAACTTCATAATTTTGCAGGTATAGTTAATTTGTTTAGGAATTCTAAGTTTGTTATTGTATGTCATGGACGCATTTGCAGTGGAAAGTATGCCAAAACCATTACCATGGTTGAGTAATTTCAGGATTTCTTGGTGCTGGGCTGCTTTCTTGATTTAGAATGCTATCATTGTTGTTGATAAACTAGGAAAGAGCTCAAATTATAAAGATCATCTCATTCATGGCAGCAAGTGAGTTTATATAGAAAGCGGAAAAAAAATGAAATTTACGAGAAAAACTGGAAATATTTGCGGTGTTACGGGATGCTTCATATTTTCCCCAAATTTATGCGGAGGTCCTACTTGTCACATTTTTTTTTCTAATAAAATGTTCCGATGTTGAAAGCATTACATAGATTTTTGTTTTATTTTTTATTTTTTTGAACTGTATGGCTGTCCGACAGTGTGGAGGTCACTTTGGAGTTGTTCCGATGTCTCAAACATCATACTGCCCTAAAGTTCTACCATTAGATGTCCCAAACATCAGACATCCCCATTGTAGGCCTCTTCCCCTATTTTAGGTCAGTCCTATGTTTCGAACATCAAAGAGGAACATTGTTATTGTTTGTTAAAGTAGTCAGTCCAATGTTTCGGACCAGCATTTTCCTTGGGTTTACATACAGTCTGATGTTTCAAACGTTTTTTGTACAAGGGGGGTTTATGTGCATGGCCATGGATGGATGGATGGATGGATGAGAGTGGCAAGCATGCGCACATCATACATGATGATGTCACCCAATGCTTACCCTTGTTCTTTTACTTGGGTTCCTCCCACTCTCTCTTTCTCAATCCATGAGACGGACTCTCTCAAAAAAGTAGGAAAAGCTGGTGTGATGTTGGAACATCTTACCAACTACTTCAACAAAAAAACAGGCCATCCGATGTTTCTAACATCAGATAACAACTAAACATAATAATTTTAACAATGTTCGGATCCAATGTTTCAAACATCAGTCACCTTTATTTTGATGTAGTGTTCACCCTGATAGAATGTTTGTCAATATGAATCATAACCTGGCTATTGTGTTCCTTTCCATATTGTCCTGGCATGATGTTGTATTTATTATTCAAATTCCCATGGTTTGCAATTAGTTTTAACTGATTCTTTGGGAGCAGAGCTCGTCACCTGCATTCAGCGTATGCACCAACTTAGGAAATGCAGTTCCTTTTGGAATTATTCATCTTAGAAATCATCCATACCTGGGTGAACGATCCATTGTCAAGTTCTCAACATAGATTGCCCCAGCTAATTTTGGTTGGCATATGAATCCAATATTTGGATTGGAATTCATGAAATAGTGATGGAAAACTTATCTTAGAACCATGTTTATTATGATGAGTGAAAGTGTATTCGTTTAGAAATTTTCAAGTAATTAATGAGCGAACATGCTGATAGGATGCAATTAATATCCAGTAACTAAGTATTTCCTGAATTAATCGTGCTCTTGCTCAATCTCCTTAGTTAATTAGGTCCCTTCAATGCTTCTCTCTATGACAAAATCAATAATCATTGTCACATGACAAAACAGAAGAAAAAGAAAAAGAAATAAAAATACCTATTGTTTTTTAAGCATTGCATTTCCACATGCACTTTTCATCCTTCCATTATCCTTTATTCTTTCCTCTCTCAGAACCTTTTCCTGCCTGCCTTTTATATGAAATATTAAATAATATCATGGATAACAATGAGTTTCTTGCATGTTAATTTAATGTTCAATTAACTTTTTGTGTTTTATGATGATGTTTTCACCTGATCACAATTCATTCTTCCGTTTTGATTTCCTTGAAAAATGGTTTGTATCCAAAGCACATATATTCATGGCCATTTTGGAAACTGGTGCAATGTTTGCTATGTTTATGCATAGCAGTCAACAGGCAAACGCTTTTCTCCTAAAATCCCCTTTGTCAACCCCTTTGTCACCTTCAAAATTGCTACCAAACTGTGAGTTAGATAAAAATGTTATATTCCCAACTTCGTGTGATGCATTTTGACGGCATGAGTGATGTTTCAACAGACTTGCGTGACAATCTGCAAAGCCTTGAGTTTGTGCAATTGAGTTTTCAGTGCCCTGCCCCAAAAATTTACTGTTTTACCATGGGGTGTGTCAATTTATGTAGTTCAATAAATCTTGCTACCGCTTCCTTTGCTGATATAAAGCTATATTCCTGCACATGCAAGCAATTAATTTGGACAAACGGAGGAGTTATTGATCAGTGAAATTTGACTGAATTTTTTTGGACTTAGACAACACGAAAATATGGTTGTTGTCATCACAAATATGTAATGTGTGTTTTAATAAAAAGACAATTGATTTCTGCTTTTGGTGAGCATGGTTAACTTCTTTAGTGACCTTCCTTATTTGGATGGCAAAATGTGGATAGAAACATATGCATTCAAGGCATATCGCTCCTTATGTCATTCATTACAAAATTGTTTCTTAATCACTCTTATAATGCAGGTCTCCAGATCCATAGGGGATGTGTATCTTAAAAAAGCCGAATTCAATCGAGAACCTCTGTATCCAAAGTTCCGACTATCAGAACCGATTCGAAGACCCATACTTAGCGCAGAGCCTTCAATAACAACACATACAATTAGCGCACTTGATCAGTTTGTTATATTTGCATCAGATGGACTATGGGAGCACCTTAGCAATCAGGAAGCGGTTGACATAGTCCACAACCATTCGCGAAGTGTAATGTCTCTCTCCCTTGTCACTGTTTCTTTTTTTTATAAGAAAATATGTTATATTCTAAGACACCGTACTCCATAAGGGTCCTCAGTGGAGGAATAGTAGTTCTATTATGTCTGAGTCTTGTCTAATTGCTGTCGGGCAGCCTCCATGTCGCTTATGTTTTTAGTCTATTTTCTCTTTCCATCGATTTAAATTACGCTCACAAAGGAAAACTGAACATCCGTACCATCTGATCAAACCCTCTTTCTTGCATGGATATTTCCATGCCAAGTTTCAGACAAAAAAAAAAAAGAGAGATCTCCATGCCAGTTGACTAGTGGCATTCAAACATTATTAGTATGTGTTACTCAAAATAATTGTCATCAACTTGTCGACTTATCAAAGAAAATAATTGGTATTGTGACCCTAATCTCACTATTTATTTTTGTGCAGGGAAGTGCAAGAAGACTTGTCAAAGCTGCACTCAGAGAAGCAGCTAAGAAGAGAGAGATGAGGTATTCAGACCTCAAGAAGATTGATCGTGGGGTACGCAGGCATTTCCATGACGATATCACAGTTGTAGTTTTGTTTCTGGACCCCTATCTTGTTAGCCAAAGCTCCATTAGGGGTCCAAAGTCCTCTTTAAGAGGTGGTGGTGGGGTCTCCATACCAACCGATTCCCTCTCCTCTGATGCTACATAGTATTGGAAGTTTTTTGATATCATTATTCGCCATGTATCAAAGAAATTATTATTAGTATGTACACTACTAACATGGTTCTTCTTTCCATCAGAAAGTTGAGCGGGTTGAAGAATAAGAGTTGCTCAGCTTTCTGCCATGGAAATTTCGTTTTTGTAAATTGTATGCAATGCAGCCCATTTTGCCTCCAAAAAACTTGGGTCAATTGCAGCTCCATTCTAATGGCCTCAGGAGTGATAGCAACAATGTGTATGCTGCTCTTTCATTCAAAGATCCTTGCTTTAAGGGTTCTCTTTTGCCAATCATGGATGTGTTTGCCTTTCTTTGAGATTTGGTTGTTCAGGATTTCCCAATCATGGATATGTTCGACTTTTTTGGGGATTTGGTTGTTCAGGATTTCCCAATTGACTTTAGGAACCTTAGATTTCCTATTTGACTTTGGGCCAATTTTCACCGCTCAATTTTCATTTGGACCAAGTTCACAGTTTTCCCGCTGCTACCGCCGCCTCATCCCAATGTTAAAAAATCGAACCGGCCTTGGGAACCGGCCAAGAGCTAGGTCCGAGTGACTAGTAAATCAGCCCGTTAAATCGGCCTAACTGCACAAGTAGTCCAAATAAGTGTTAAAAAAATGAAAAAAAATTTTAAAAAATATGAAAAATATATTTTAAGTATGATTAAATAAAAAATTTATCTATAAAAAGACCATTCATCTTTTGTACATGACGGTCACAATCATTTCTACTTGTTAGATATCAAATTGAATAGCTTGAAGTGAGATACAAAATCCAAGAGTTGTTTTTTGAAACTTTGTGTCTATTCAAAGTTTTGTAACCATCCATTTTAAAATTTAAGATATAAGAATGATTGTGATATCTTTTATACAAAAGATAAAAAGTCTCGTAAACAATCATATTTGAATGAAATTGAAAAAATAGTGAAAAAAATAAATTTTAAAAAAATCAATGTGCCTAGAGATATTTCTGAAATTTCTTAAAAAAGATGAAAAAATGTAAAAATAAATATTCATAATCAAAAATACTTTTTTTTCAATATTTTTCAAAATAATAAAAAATATTCAAAAACACGTTACAAACAAATCCTTTATTTTTTGAGGTTTTATATCTTTTATATATATATTTTTAAATACCCTGCCAGAGCACCGAAAGTGGCCTAAACTAGTTGGGCTGGTGTTGGTTCCGATTTGACTGGCCGGTTTCGAATTAGACCTGTCAAGTTTGCGAACATTGCTACCACCACTAAATCAAAACCCACTCCACCACCACCACCATAGCACTACAACCACCATGCAGCCACCACTACCGCAACCCCTGCTTTGCCACCAACACTAGCAATTCTGCAACCCTAGCCACCTACTCTTTGCTGGCACACAGGCAATACCATCCACTCCACCGCCAAGCTGCCTCCGCCACTACCATTACCATTACACTGCCACCCCCATCATCACTAAGAACAATAAGAAATCGCAATTCAGATCAAAACATTTACATCCCTTGAAACAGCAAACAGTAATTCACAACATTGCAATTCCTTCGATCACAAATAAAGACTGAAAGATATCCCTCGAGTAACTGCATATCCAAAAAGACAGCTGCTTTCTTCAAATGAACAGACATTTCGGGTTGTTTAATTCATTTACTTGCTTAATTATTGAATTATGCGCACCATTTTTCCTTTTAGGTAGGTTAGTTGCAATTTAGACTGGTGTGCTGTGTTTCCACGCTCCAACCACCAATCTAACCATCAGTCGCTGCCTCAAATTCATTAACACCATATGCAGAAAAGTACCAATGGAGGTTGAAATCCAACATGATTTGTTTTTCTTGTCATTTTCAACCGTGAAAAAGAATGAACACGAGTCATGAACACACGAACTGTGGGTGGTTCATGTTTTTGTACTCCTCATACCCTTAATAATACAGTTTAACATTTTTTTTTAAAAAAAAGAATGAACACAAACAATGAAGCAAAACAAAATACTAGCTCAAATAGCAACAAGGTAATAGTGTCACATTTGAAAACAGTAAATAAAGGAAGTCACAATAAGTCAAATCAACATATGTTTTCTCGAGAAGCAGCTTACTGTTTTTTAAGCACAGTGCATAAACAAATGTTTCTCCTTGACAAGCAATGACACTCGAGCATTTCAGACTAATGTCATTTGGAAGTACACATGGAATCACATCAAATAAACAATGTACAGATTATCCAAGTTATGCACATTGCACTCGACCGTTCCTATCTATGGCTGAGCTAATAATACAAATTGAGTGTCGGAGTGAAGAGGTAACCTTACGTACAGTGACAAGAAATTGGCCCCTCCAATGCAAAATAAACCTCAATGGAATGTGTGTGTGAGAGAGAGAAAGAGAGAGAGAGAGAGTGGAATGTGTGTGTGAGAGAGAGAGAAAGAGAGAGAGAGAGAGAGAGAGAGACTCTAGCATATTCCAAGTCTAAATGGCCTAACTAAAATTACTGGCCAGTTCCATCCGAGAGAGAGAGAGAGAGACTCTACGCATACTTACCTAACGTACTAAAGTCGACCTAAACTAAAATTACTGGCCTAGTTCCACTAACCAAAACAAGCATCTCTGCTCACTTCCCACTCGCTCTTACTAAC